CCCCCCCGCAAACCGAATATACCATGTCTTCGCTCGTACACAAGTGCCTTCATTCCTTCCACGGTTCCCGGGCGCGCCCGTGTGGGTCAGCGCTGCCCTGCCAGGCCGGCGGCCAGGCCGCCAAGCATGGCGCACCGCGGCGCGCGCAGCCCCCCATTGAAGAGTTGGAATTGCGAGATCCCCTGCTCCAGCAGCGGCAGCGTCCCGTCAATGAAGACCGGCGCCCCGGGGCCGGCCGCCTGCGGCAGCAGCCGCTGCCCGAGGCACCTCCGAGCCTCGGGGTCGGTGGCACTCAGGCGCTCGGCCGCCCGGTAGGCGGGCCCCTCCTGCCGGAGGAGCCCCATGAGCGGCGTGTCGCCAGGCTGGCCGGCCGGATCCCCGGCAAACCGGCCGGCATTGTACACCAAATCCACCAGGGCCCCGGTCCCGGCACGGGCCAGACCACGCACCAGGGCCCTCACCCGGCCCCCGGCCCCCGGGGCCTCGGCAAAGGCCCCCGGCGGGAGGGTATTCACAAGCAGGTCCACCGGCCCGGCCGGCGACTCGGCCGATCGGAGAATGCGCAGGCGCACCCCCGGCGCCGGGGCCCATGGCTGCCGGCCGTCCGGCCGCCAGTCGAGCAGATCCCCCAGCAGGGCCTCGGTCGACCGGTCGCCCGGGTCGCCCGTGTCGAGACCCCGCGACCAGACCAGCACATCCAGCGGCAGGGCCAGCGCGAAGCACAGAGCAAAGAGAGCCGCCCGCGCCGAGCCGCCGGCCCCGAGAACAACCACCGTCAGCCGCGGACCGGCGGCGCCCGGCTCGATTGCCACATGCCCGGCCGCCTCCGGCACCAGGCGCTCGGTCAGCCGGCGCGACCAGGCCCGGGCCAGGATCGGCCCCACCACCCGGGCCACGCCCAGCCAGTCGGTGTTGTCGCCGGTCCACAGGGCCTCGCCGGCCCCGGGGGCCCGCTTGCCGGCCGCCCGCACCAGCGTATTGACGGCGCCGATGAGCCGCGCCTCGGGCGACAGGCCGCCGGCACAGTGCCGCACCGCGTCGCGCTTCAGGGGCATCGTCACCGCCAGCCGGGTGACCGGCTCCTCGCCCTCGATCGCAGGCCACAGCCCGTCCACCGAGTCCACGTTGATGGCCTCGAAGGTGCGGCCGGCAAGGCCGATCTCATCCAGGCCTGGGGGGCCGCCCCGCCCCGCCCCGCGCCGGTCCGCGGCGACCCATGCAGCACGTTAGTCCCCGGTTGCTTTCCATGCCTTTGCCCCCCCCCCCCCCCTCCTCGGCCCTCCCGCCCTTTGCCTGCCAGGCAGCCATGCATTCCACCGGAGGCGAGGCCCGGGCCACCGACATACCTGCTTGGTGCATGGCCGGCGACAGGGACCCGGCCACCGGCGCGCCGGCCGGCGCGGGAACCAGCACCCGCGAGCCGACCACCGCCATGCGACAATGCTGCAGGTCCCGGCGCAGGGTGTTGACCGTCCGCAAGCAGAGCTGGCGGCAGGCAGGAGGGCCACCGAGAGGCCGAGGCGGGCAGTGGGTTGGCAGATGCGTCAGACACAGGCTCTCGAGGGGGGAGGGGGCGCGGAGGGGAGCGGGATCCCAGCCAGCTACGCACCTGTCCCGGCGCGCCGGGAGCCGCAAGCAGGCGATGCGTCACCGGCAGGCAGAGGCGCTGGAGAACGCGCGAGTGCCGGCCCGCTGGGCCGGTTTCCACCACCACCGAGAGGGGTGCGTATGCCTGCCCGGCAAGCCGAGCCCGTGCGTCGACCGCGCGCAACACCCGCTGGCGGAACTCCCGCGTACGCAATGGAGCTACTCCGGGGGCGACAACTGATGTGTGTGCAGATGTGCGCCGATGTGTGCAGATGTGGGCCGATGTGTGCAGATGTGGGCCGATGTGTGCAGATGTGGGCCGATGTGTGCAGATGTGGGCCGATGTGTTCATGCGTGCGCATATGCGTTCATGCGTGCGCATATGTGTTCATGCGTGCGCATATGCGTTCGCGTGCACACATGCGCGTCCGACGGCCAGGCAAAGACAGTCAGTCAGCCGGCCAACACACCCGCAAGGCACGCAAGGAGAGCCGCCCGGCCCCGAGGCACAGCACGCACCCTTGACGGCGAAGAGGCGCCCGAAGAGCTCGGTCGGCAGCCCGGCCACCAGGGCCTCGGCCTGGGACAAGTCAAACCCGGGGTCCGTCGTGTGGAAGGAGGCAATGACACTGAGGCGCCGAGCGCAGTCAGTGACCAGGATACACACACATGCAAGGGGCAGGGCATGCAGGCATGAGGGACGCCGCGTACCGGAAGGGCAGCACACCCTGCAGCGGGCACACCCCCGCCAGGAGGCCGTAATCCCCGGGGGCCATCTCCACGTCCAGGAACTGGCAGCCAAGTCGCGCGCAATGCTGCAGCACTGCCGGACCATGCACCAGCGTGTCACAGTCAGCATCAAGGCCTGGCCGCAAGGGGCAGCCGGAAGGGGGGGGAGGGGCGGAGGGAGAGAAGCAAATTCCGCACCAGCAAGCGCCTGGTCGGTGGACCCGGCAAAGGCACCCCCCTGCCGGGCGGTCCGCAGGGTGGCAATCAGGGGCATCGCCCCGGCCCCATGGGCCGCGAGCAATGCCCGGCAGGCGGCCACCTGCTCGGATACCATGGCCAGCAGGCACCCGGCCCCGGGGCCCGCCCCATAGCACGGGCCGTAGGCCGGGCCCGGCCGGCAGCGGCACGGCTCCGGCGCGGCCAGCCCCGGCACGCAGTCCAGGCGCAGCTCCACCGCGTCGGCGCCGGAAAAAACCAAACCAAAGTCCGCGGCGTGCGGCACCGGCGCCCGGTAGTCCGCCAGCGTCAGCGTCAGGAAGGCCGAGTGGCCCCGGTGCACGGCCGCCCGGGCCCCCATCGCGGCCACCGCCCGCGGCACCACCTCCGGCCGGAGGTCCCCCACATGGAGCAGCGCATTGCCAGGCGGCCGCGCCGGCGACAGCCCGGCCAGGAACCCGGCGAAGTGGGCCGCGTCGTCGGCCGGCCCGGCGCACGCCGGCCCCCGGGCCGGGTACACCGCATGGCTCAGGCCCAGGTAGTGGGGCAGCCGGCGCCGGTAGGTCACACCCGGCGCCTCGCCCAAGTCCACCCGGCCATCGGCACCGGGCCCAGGGGCCTCGGCCTGCAGGAGAGCCTCGATGTCCCGCAGGTCCCGGTCGATGAAGACCACGCGAATGCGCGCATCCTGGAGCTGCGGCTGGCGTCAGTTGTGCGAGAGGCCCGGGGAAGGAAGGGAAAGGGAGAGGCTGCCCTCCCGGAGCGAAGAAAGAAGGCAAGAAGGAAGGCAGCCCCTCGCCCAGGATGCACCATTTCCGTCAGCTGCTGGCGGCTGGCGGCCCAATCGACCAGGCCACCGCCACACGCGCTGATCGACAGCACCGGCGACACGCCGGGGGCCTCATCGCCACGGGCCAGCAGCCACCGCCGGTGCCCGGCCAGCAGGGCGGCCTCACGCCGGCGGAAGCCCTCCATGCCCTCGGCATGGACAAGTGCCCGGAGGGCGGCCCGCGTGCGCGCGGCCACGGCCTCCTCGCTGTCGCCGGGCTCCGGCGCCCCGCCGGCCAGCGTCCGCGCCAGCAGCTCATCCAGATCGAAGAAGGGGCAGGCCAGCAGCCCGGCCGCCAGCCGGCCGCGCGTGGTTTTGCCCGCGCCCCGCATGCCCACCAGCAGGACATGATACCCCCCGGCGGCCGGGGGCCCGGCGGCCGGGGCCTCGCCGACCGGCAGCATCCCGGGCTCCGGGGCCTCGGCCGGCAGGCTGGCCGGCGCATCAAACACCATGCCCAGGGCCCGCATATCCCCCCAGAAGGTGGGGTACGTCTTTTGCACGCACTCTGAGCCGGGCCAGCGGCCCCGCGGCCACGGACGCGACATTCCCCCCCATCGGGCAGGCAGGCGCGGACGGTGAGAAGGGACCCGCATGTGGGCGAGCAGGCCGAAGAGGGGAAAAAAAAAAAGGCAACAGCCCGCGGGCCCGGGCCAGTGGCGCACCCTTATCCATGATGACAATCGACGGGAGGACCGCCGCCAGCACGGCAAAGCTCATGGCCATCCGGTGGTCATCATAGCAGTGGATGAAAATCGGCCCGGTCGCCCGGTCGGCCAGGGGCGCCAGCAGGTCCGCCCCCTCGATGACCAGGCCATCCGGCAGCTCGGACACCTGGACACCGCACCGGCGGAGCTCTGCACCAGGGGAACACAGCCGGAAGGCGTCAGTCACACGGCGGTCAAATGAAGCCCCCTCCCCTCCGGCCGCTGGGGGGCCGCCTGGTGCCGGACATACCGCGCGCCGTGGCCGCAATCCGATCGCACTCCTTCACCCGCTGGTTGGCGATGCCGGTGATGGTGGATCGGCCACGCGCGGCGGCCATCACCACGGCCGCCGTCATGAAGGCGTCCGTCATGCCGGACATGTCCTTCGCGGGCGGTCATCGGAGGGGGGCGGGGGGCAGGGCAAGGAGCCGCATCCGCCGCCCGCCAGGGGGCGAGAGAGGGAGGGGCAGCAGCCGCAGTGGCAGCAGGGCAGGGGTCGGGTCAGTTACACGCATGTCGGTGCACGGGGACACCCGGTGCCAAGCGCCAGGCGCCAGGCGCCAGGCGCCAGGCCCCGGCGGGCAGGCAGACGCACCGCCGAGACGCCGATCAGCTGCCCGGTCGAGGTGACGGTCGTCATGTCGGCCGTCTGGTCCACGGCGCAGCCCATGCGCGCGAGGAGCTGGCATCCGGGGGGGGGGGGGCGGGGGGTAGAGCAGACAGGCAAACAGGTATTACATCGCCCGGGGGTCAGTCAAGCGAGCTCCATCGTGGGGAATCGCGGTCGCAGCACCGGAGGCAACAGCAGCAAGGCCAAAGGTAAGAGCAGCAGCAGCAGCAGCAGCAACAGCACAGGCATGCAGGACGCACATGGCAAAAACCGGCGTCCCCCTGCCAGGGGATGTCCCGGGCGCCGACCCCGCGGACCGTGACCGCCCGGCCGGCCGGCAGCAGGGCCGCCACCGCCAGCGGGTACGTCGAGGAGGAGGCATCGCACGCCACGGCATAGGAGCTCGGGTTGGTGTGGCCCGGCGCCGCCCGGGAGACCTCATACCCGAGCCGGGCCTCCTGGTCAGCCGGCACGCCGGGGCCCGGGAGCTCATCCTCCGGCAGCGAGTGCGCCTCCAGGCCGAAGGCTGCCCATGGTCCCGGTCCGGGGCTTCCGGTGGTGAGAACAACAGCAGCCAGCACGGGCCCGCGGCGCCGGCACTCTCCTCGCCCTCGGCCCGCCGCCCCGCGCCCCCCTCGCGCCCGCCCCGACCGCGCGCGCTGCGCACCCCCCCCCCCCCCTGATGTCAGACGCACCGCGCATCACATCCACCGTCATGTCGATGTAGGGCTGGCTGGTCACTCGGCCGCAGGCGAGGTCGGCCCCGGCGCCCTTCCGAGCCAGGAGGCGCAATGTGACCGGGGCCCGGGCGAAGGGCGCCGCCAGCAAGATGGCCGACGTGTATTGCGAGCTTGGCGCATGGCCGGCAGGGCACCACGTCAGAAGACCACACCACCGGCGCCCCGGTGCGGGGAGGGGAAAAAAAGCAAGCACATCGGGGAAGGGGCAGAAAGAGAGGGAGAGGAAGAACGGAAGAGAGAGGAAGAGAGGAAGAGAGAGGAAGAGAGAGAGAGGAAGAGAAGGAGAGAGAGGAAGAGAGGAAGAGAAGGAGAGAGAGAGAGAGAGAAAGAGAGAGAGAAAGAGCGAGGCCCAGCAGAGACCCCGGCCCGCGATCCGCGCATACCTGATGTCCGCCCGGACGGCCATCGCCCCGCCGGAGGCCGACCCGCGCGCGATGTCCACCGGCAAACAGCCCGGCGACCCGGCGGCACCAATGTCCGCCCCATTGGCGGCCAGCGCGGCCGTCAGGTCGCCAATCGGGCGCACGTGCATGCGCGCCGACCCGCGCAGCGACACCCGGCCCGCCTGGCCGGTGGCCGCATTCAGGGCCAGGTACCCGGTCAGGAACCGGGCCGCCGTCCCGGCATTGGCCACGTACAGCGACCGCGTGGGCGCCGGCCCGGGGCCGGGCTCATGGCGCGTGGACACCCGCAGCGACCCGTCCTCCTGCCAGATGGCCTCCCTGCGCAGGAGGCCGCCCTCCGGGGGGTGCTCGTCAAAGAGCCCGCCATTGATGGCCCGGAGCATGACCTGCGTGTCCTCCGAGAGGAGGGCATTCTCCAGCCTGGCCCCCGACGGCCGAGGCAGCGGCAAAGCCGGACGGCAAGCACACGGCAAAGCGGTTGGCAAGCGGAAAAGCGGCGAAGGGGGGGAGGAGCGGGAAAGAGGCAAAAGGAGGAGGAAAAGGCACCGCCCCCCGACCGGCCACCAGGCAGCACCGCCACCACGTACACACACGCCCCGCGGCCCTGGGCCGCCAGCAGCAACGCCCGATTGGTGAGGGACTTGCTCCCGGGGACCCTGAGCTCCAGGGGCCCGGCGTCGGCCCGGCCGCCGGGCGCCCGGCGCAAACACGCGCCCCGGCTCAGGGCGAAGCCCAGCAGCCCCGGGGCCACCGGGCCCGCGCGCCCGCCATCCATCGCGCGCCCGATGTCCAGCAGCCGGGTCACCCGGATGTCCGGCACGGGGCCGACTGCCCCCGGGGCCGGGGCCGGGGCCAGACCGTCCGCCAGCGCCCCGGCCCCCAGCAGCCCGGCGGACTTCTTGTCCGCGCGGGCCATCTGCAAAAGGACCTCCTCCGGGCAGAGGTCCCCCGGCAGGGCGGTCTCCAGGCCGAGCCCCTGCAGCAGGCGCCCGATGCGCAGGGCCGCCGCGGCCGCCAGCGGCCGGCGCTCCCCCGGGCCCAGGTGCACCTCGATGGCGGACTCCGCCGCCAGGCCAATGGCCACGGCTGCCACGGGCCACAGCGCATGGCCGATGCCCGGCCCCGGCCAGGACGAGCGCCCCAGACAGGAGGCAAGGAAGGGAGGGGGGGAGGGAATAAAAGCACGTCAGCTGCACGGTGCCACCAGCGCGGCCCAAAGAGAGCCCCTCACCCCCGCCCCCCCCCCGGCAAGCTCGCATCCGGGAGAAAAGGGCCCCTGCTTGCGCCGGGGCGCGCGACCGGCGCCTGGGCGCACCTTCACCGTGGAGCAGGCGCCCGGCGGCCAGGGCCTCCACCGCATGGCCGACCGTGTGGCCGAAGTTCAGCGCCTCGCGGAAGAGGCTGCCCCCGGGGGCCGGGGCCGCCGCCCGCCGGTGGGCCTCCTCCCGCAGGTCCCCGGCCACGATGCTCGCCTTCAGACGGACGGCCTCGCACACCAGCCGCACGATTGGCTCCCAGTCGGCTGTCGTGGCCCGGCTGTCAGCCGGCCGGGCCAGCCGCTCGGCCTGCTGCTCCAGCGACGCGAAGAGGTCGGCCGAGGCCAGCGCCGCGACCTGTGTGGCCCGGTCCATCCGCGAGGTTGGCCGGCATGGCCAAAGGAGAGTGCGAGGGACAGAGAGGACAAGAGAGGACAAGAGAGGACAAGAGAGAGCAAGAGAGGACAAGAGAGAGCAAGAGAGAGCAAGAGAGAGCAAGAGAGAGAGTATGAAAGCATGAGAGACAGAGAGAACATAAGAGCAAGAGGGAAAAAACACAAAAAACAAAAAAAGGAGACAGACAAAAAGAGAGGGAGAGCATGCCAGCCATGGCCGGCGGGCCTGGCCCCGCTGCCCCTCGCACGCCGCCCCGACAGAATCCCACGCGGACCCGCGCACGCACCTTCACCACCTCGGCCAGGCCATTCAGGAAGTGCCGGTGCGGCAGGCTCGGCAATGCCCACGGCACGTCGATCAGCGTCACGGCCGCCGGGTGAAAGGCGCCGATCATGTTCTTGCCAGCCGCCGTGTTGACGCCTGGGCGATGTGGCCACCGGCCGGTGCGGAGTGGGGCCCCATGCCGAGGCCGGCGCTCGGTCAGCATGCCAGCCTCCAAGCAGGCGAGTAGGGCCCATTGAGGGAAGCAAAAAGAAAGCCCTGCCCCCAAGGGCCAAGCCGCCGCACGCACCGGTCTTGCCGCCGACACTGGCGTCCACCATGCACAGGAGCGACGTCGGCACCGCCGCCCAGGGAACCCCGCGGAAGAGGGTGGCCGCCGCAAAGCCAGCCACATCGCACACCACCCCCCCGCCGATGGCCAGCAGGAGGGTGGCCCCGCGCCCGGCCCCGGGCAGTGACAGGACAAAGTCCTCCAGGCGCTCCTTCTGCGCGCGGGTCTTGGTCGGCTCGAGCCCGGCCGCCCCGGCCGGCACCCGGTCCAGCAGGAAGACCGCCGCCCCGGGGGCGCCGGGTGGCAGCCGCGCGCCCCCGCCATCGGCGATCGACCGAAGGGCCGCCCCCGGGCAGGCCGCCGGCTGGAGGGCCTCCAGCACCGCGGCCACCAGCCCGGCGTCCGCCACATCCGGATCCGACACCAGCACCACATGCGGCCGGCCCAGCGGCCGAAGCAGCGCCGCCAGCTCCGACAGCACCCCGGCCCCGGCCACCAGGAGGGACCCCTGCCATCGGCGGGGCGCGCCACAGGGACCCCGGCACCGCCGCCAGGGCCATCGAAGGAAAGGAAAGCAGCAGCAGCCCGCATTAGACTTCGGCCCGGCGCACATGACCACCCCAAGGAAGCAAGGCCGCAGACGCTCGGCCCCCCCCCCCCCATATGGGCACGTACATCGGGTTGTTGCAGGCGAAGCACCGGGCCCGCCGTGTCCGGCGCGCAGGAACCCATGCTATCCGGGGGATGCGCCGATCAAGCCGCAGGAGAAGAGGGACACAGACAGGGGAGGGAGGGGAAAGAGCCTTGCGCCGGGGCGTACGGGACCCGCCGGAGGGGGGAGATGCCGGGAAACGTCCACGGGTGGGAGCGCGGGCAAAAAGAAAAAAAAAAAAAGTCCGAGGAGACCGCCAGGGGGAAGCACCCAACTGGACAGCGAACAAGCAGGCAAAGGGCAGCAGCGGAGGGGGGGGGGGGCAATGGCTTTCATGCGCGCCCGGGCCCTCGCCCGCCGCCGGGCCGGGCCCGCAAATGCGTGCGCCCTCCTGGCTCCGGCCGCCGCCGCCGCCGCCGCGGGCCCTCCAGATCGCGGGCCAGCTGCCGACGGACCGCGCGCCTTGTCGGAATGGCGTCCGTGGCGCCGGGGCCCCCTCCCGCGGAGCCGGCCCCGGCCGCCGCCGCCGCCGCCGCCGCCGGCAGGGTGGAACCGGCGCCCCCCGGCCCCGCGGCAGGAGGCCGGTCCGGGGCGGGCCGGGGGCTCCGGGCCGGC